CCAGGTAAGCTGTGGGTGTCCCATCCCTGGAAGTGTTCAAGGCCAGGTTGGATGGGTCTTTGAGCAACCTTGTCCAGTAGGAGGAGGTGTCCCTGCATATGGCTGGGGGGTTGGAATTAGATGACCTTTAAGGTCCCTTCCAACCCAAACCATCCTATGATTATATGATTCTATGAGGTCATTACCAAGTACTTGTGTACACACGATGCTCCTTTTTAAATTTCACTTAACTCAAAAGTCTTTTCAATACAAAGTATAGATTTCAAGTCCGAAGGATTATCATACTTTCTAATCTTCAGGAGTCAGTGTTCTCCTTTTATTCTAAGATAAGAGAATCAATGATTTTTCAGGAAAAAAATTGTACACCTGATATAGAATTTAAGAATAATATTTGCAAATTTGCTAATGATTCTCAGATTAAGTGCTGTGAAAAACACTATTCATAGATATATTATCTATCTTAGCGGTGTAATGATGCATTTCCTTGCTCTGGCACATATGTATTCTCTCTTGGGTTCTGAAGCTCAGTAGAGTCCTACTTTGTTAGGCTGGTAAGCATATTTTCCTATAGGCATAACAAAGAACTTAAATTGTGAATAAAACTCCAGATATGAAAAAAATTGCTTTTTCTGATCATTACTTAGGCATATGAATGTATGCATTAAAAGCAATGGAACTGTTTGGACTGATCAGTATATGCAGTGGTTTCACTGTTGGCTCAAAAGAACTGTGCTGTAAATAGGTGAGACAGAACTTCTAGCTGTTCAACCGCTACTAACCAAAAACATTAACTTCTTTTTAGAACATCTAAGTGCATCACTTTGCCTGTCAGTACAGTTCCAGAAAAGATTTTTGGTTGGATTGTGTAATTAATAGACAACAAGTTCTGACAAGCTTTCCTGCAAAGTCCTGGCTATCGGGGGAGGTCCCAGCTGACTGGCAGCTAGCAAATGTGACACCCATCTACAAGAAGGGCCGGAGGGCTGACCCAGGGAACTACAGGCCTGTCAGTTTGACCTCAGTACCAGGGAAGCTCATGGAGCAGATCCTCTTGAGAGTCATCACGCAGAACTTGAAGGGCAAGCAGGCGATCAGGCCCAGTCAGCATGGGTTTATGGAGGGCAGATCCTGCTTGACGAACCTGATCTCCTTCTATGACAAAGTGACGCGCTGGGTGGACGAGGGAAAGGCTGTGGGTGTGGTCTACCTTGACTTCAGCAAGGCTTTTGACACCGTCTCCCACAGCATTCTCCTCAAGAAACTGGCTGCTCTTGGCTTGGACCGGCGCACGCTTCGTTGGGTTAGAAACTGGCTGGATAGCCGGGCCCAAAGAGTCGTGGTGAATGGAGTCAAGTCCAGTTGGAGGCCAGTCACTAGTGGCGTCCCCCAGGGCTCGGTGCTGGGGCCAGTCCTCTTTAATATCTTCATCAATGATCTGGACGAGGGCATTGAGTGCACCCTCAGTAAGTTTGCAGATGACACCAAGTTAGGTGCGTGTGTCAATCTGCTCGAGGGTAGGAAAGCTCTGCAGCAGGATCTGGATAGGCTGCACCGATGGGCTGAGGTCAACTGCATGAAGTTCAACAAGGCCAAGTGCCGGGTCCTGCACCTGGGATGCAATAACCTGAAGCAGAGCTACAGGCTGGGAGATGAGTGGTTGGAGAGCTACCAGGCGGAAAAGGACCTTGGAGTATTGGCTGATAGTCAGTTGAATATGAGCCGGCAATGTGCTCAGGTGGCCAAGAAGGTCAACGGCATCCTGGCTTGCATAAGAAACAGTGTGACCAGCAGGGCTAGGGAGGTGATCGTCCCCCTGTACTCAGCTCTGGTGAGGCCGCACCTCGAGTACTGTGTTCAGTTTTGGGCCCCTCGCTACAAGAAGGACATCGAGGTGCTTGAGCAAGTCCAGAGAAGGGCGACAAAGCTGGTGAGGGGCCTGGAGAGCAAGTCCTATGAGGAGCGGCTGAAGGAGCTGGGCTTGTTCAGCCTGGAGAAGAGGAGGCTCAGGGGCGACCTTATTGATCTCTACAGATACCTTAAAGGAGGCTGTAGTGAGGTGGGGGTTGGCCTGTTCTCCCACGTGCCTGGTGACAGGACGAGGGGGAATGGGCTTAAGTTACGCCAGGGGAGTTTTAGGTTGGATGCTAGGAAGAACTTCTTTACTGAAAGGGTTGTTAGGCACTGGAACAGGCTGCCCAGGGAGGTGGTGGAGTCACCATCCCTGGAAGTCTTCAAAAGACGTTTAGATGTAGAGCTTAGGGATATGGTTTAGTGGGGACTGTTAGTGTTAGGTTAGAGGTTGGACTCAATGATCTTGAGGTCTCTTCCAACCTAGAAATTCTGTGATTCTGTGAAAGTCCAGTCAGAGATAACGCAGAACAGTAACAACAGTCCCAGACACCTAATTGATAGAGCCCTTTGTGGTGTTGCTGATTTAAAGGCATGAAAGGGAAGAGATACCAAGTAGAAGATACCATCCATCTCTGCTTCTGCCTTCTGAATATTATTAAAGGAAACAAATATTTCTTTTAATATTAGTTCGCCAGCTAAGTAATTGTAATTTCCTTTAGACAATGATAAGAATGAGACAGAGTAGACAGGTTCAGGGAACAATCTCACTTTCAAAATATGACCTTCACCACTGATAATCTGCCTTTGCAGTACAGCTAGAGAAATACACAGTTCTAAAGCCCAAAATACTTTACCAGCTGGTAAGCTCACTGTTAAAGTAAGTGGTTTAGACAATTTTAAGTGTATTATTGTAACTAGTCACTTCTCAGCCAACATCATTACTTTAACATATATCATCTCTGTTTTGTCTTTTAAGAAATTCTATTTCTGGAACATCAGCACACACAATAATGTAATTAGGAAGTGTTCATGCATTTTGAGCAAGGCTTGTTTAGAACTACAGGAATAATATACATGCTTTTATCTATATATATGTAAAACAAACAAAAAACAAAACAACAAAAAAATAGTCTAAACCCTATTTTATAATGTCCCTTATAAAGTAATGTAATAGCTGCCAATACAGGGAACTCCACAGTTGGAGGTGAATCAGCAGCAGTCCACAGTATGTATACACTACATTGGAAATGCCCTCCAAGATCACCTAGTCCAACCTCTGACCTAACACTAACAAGTCCTCCAGTAAACCATACCACTAAGTTCTACATCTAAACATCTTTTGAAGATCTCCAGGGATGGTGACTCCACCACTTCCCTGTGCAGCCCGTTCCAATGCCTAACAACCCTTTTGGTAAAGTTCCTCCTAATATCCAACCTGAAACACCCCTGGCCCAGCTTTAGCCCGTTCCCCCTCATCCTGTCACCATGCACATGGGAGAATAGACCAACCCCCACCTCGCTACAGCCTCCTTTAATGTACCTGTAGAGAGCAATAAGGTCAGCCCTGAGCCTCCTCTTTTACATGCTGAACAATCCCAGCTCCCTCAGCCACTCCTCGTAGGACTTGTTCTCCAAACCCCTCACCAGCTTTCTCGGCCTTCTCTGGACTCGCTTGAGCACCTCCACATCCTTCTTGTAGCAAGGGGCCCAAAACTGAACACAGTACTCGAGGTGCAGCCTCACCAGAGCCGAGTACACGGGAATAATCACTTCCCTAGACTTGCTAGCCACACTATTTCTTATGCAAGCCAGGATGCTGTTGGCCTTCTTGGCCACCTGAGCACATTGCTGGATTGCTGGCTCATATTCAGCTGACTATCAACCATCACTCCCAGATCCTTCTCTGCCAGGCAGCTTTCCAACCACTCCTCTCCCAGCCTGTTGTGGCACTGGGGGTAAAATAAGTTTTGTTTTTTTTTTTTTAATAATTTTATTTCTACAAGAAACAGAAAGAGAAGGTCATATCTGTGATGGACACACGAACAGTACAGCTCCTGGCAGAGGACTCAAGCACAAAGACCAGAGCTTTGGAAAACAAAACAAAACAAAAAAAACAACCACCCTCAGGTCCACAAATGCCAACAGGACATGAATGCACAGCAGCCCCAGCAAGTGCAATCGCAGATGAAAAAGGTGACCCTGCTCGGTCTCTTGATAATACTGCACCTACATAGTCAAGCCTTTACAGTACATGTTGAAGCTCTTTGTGAATCTTCTGGAGAGTTACACCAATGGCTTGATATATCTAGAGATTAAAATATAACCCAAAACCAGAAGCATACCCCACCACATCCCAAGGACAAGTTAGCCAGCAACCTCTGCTAAATACCCCTCTATTAAGGAGAATTTTAAGCACTTAAAATCTAGCAGGCTACCAGGTCTTAAGAGTCTACTGCCAGCAAAAGAGCAGAAAAAAAAAAAAGCTCTAGAAGTATAAGAAACTGTCCCTAACCCTGAAAGAGACTACACCTTATGTGCCTGCTTCTACTGTTTTCAGATACTCACTGGCACAGGGAACTTGGGTGTTACATTTCCCCTAAACCCTGCTCCATCGCTTTAACATCAAGGTCCTAATTTTGATAACATTTGACATAGAGATGAAGGCATAAGGTCACATTCACAGTAAGCCCTATAATTCTGCAAAAATCTTAAGAGACCTAGAACCACAAAGAAAAAACACAAAGTAACATCATCTTCCCATGCATAAGCATGCTCTAAAAATTAGTCACCTGAAGAAGAGCTGCATGCAGTAAAGACATCTATTACTATATAGTTTGCTTTACTCTAAAAGACCCTACTAGCTGTTACCTCAAAAAGACATGCTTACCTTTCTCAACTTAGAAACACATTAACCCATACATTCTGAACCACCTAAAGAACCCTGCAACTGGCTGAAGAAAAAAACAAAACATGTTCCTCCCCTCCATCAAAGCACAGACAGACAGAAAGAGCTTTCTAGTGGGACACCTGCAGCTTATATACTATTAGACCCACCTGGCACCCAACCAATCACCTGGGAAAGGGGTGGGGCAAAGCAAAAAAAAAAAAAAAAAAAAAAAAAAAAAAAAAAAAAAAAAAGTAGAAATCAAGCAGGATGAGCAGCAGCTATGTTGTTTTTGTTTATTTGGCTTAGCTCAACAGTGTGCAAAGCCCAGTACAGAGAACTAGGCTGTTTGTAGAAGCAGTAATTCTCATGCTTTTGCTTCAGCTTTTAATATTGGAAGGACAACATGACCAAGTAAGTAACTGAAACTATTTCAACTGGGATTAGCTCAAACCTTTCTTTACACTCATGGTGGATGAAAACATCTCTATATTAATTCTGTTAGATTTATAGCTGCTGTTAGTAACATTAACCATAACCTTCTTTTGAATCTGAACAGTCTTGTATGGCAGTAAAAGGATTGCTTAATGTTGGCTACCCACATTTTTTCTTTTGGGGGCCTTTAGGTTCATCGTTTACCATTTTTAGAGATCTTTCATGCAGATAATAACCAGGCAAGATTGCCTTAATTGTCTTAATGAAATTAAGTACTATGAAAACCGGGAAAATTTACTGAGTAAGTTTAATACCAGTAAACCAATGTAAGTAGTAAAAATTGTTTTAAATGCATTCATTTTCCCATAGGATCCTACTAGACAAAATGTCCACCATACAGCTAAATAAAAACATCATACGATGGGTGAGCAATTGGCTAACGGGCAGGGCCCAAAGGGTTATGGTGAATGGCGCTGTGTCAGGCTGGCGGGCGGTCACCAGTGGGGTCCCTCAAGGCTCCATTTTAGGGCCGGTACTTTTCAATATTTGTATAAACGATCTGGATGTAGGAATAGAAGGTATTTTGAGCAAGTTTGCTGATGACACCAAACTTGGAGGAGTTGTGGACTCGAATGAGGGTGGAAAGGCCTTGCAGAGGGATCTGGATAGGTTGGAGAGCTGGGCGATCGCCAACCGCATGAAGTTCAATAAGAGCAAGTGCCGGGTCCTGCACCTGGGACGGGGAAACCCTGGCTGCACGTACAGACTGGGCGATGAGACGCTGGAGAGCAGCCTAGAAGAGAGGGATCTGGGGGTCGTGGTAGACAGCAAGTTGAATATGAGCCGGCAGTGTGCCCTGGCAGCCAGGAGGGCCAACCGTGTCCTGGGGTGCATCAAGCACGGCATCGCTAGTAGGTCGAGGGAGGTTATTGTCCCGCTCTACTCTGCGCTGGTGCGGCCTCACCTCGAGTACTGTGTGCAGTTCTGGGCACCACAGTATAAAAAGGACATGAAACTGTTGGAGAGTGTCCAGAGGAGGGCTACGAAGATGGTGAAAGGCCTGGAGGGGAAGACGTACGAGGAACGGCTGAGGGCACTGGGCCTGTTCAGCCTGGAGAAGAGGAGGCTGAGGGGAGACCTCATCGCAGTCTACAACTTCCTCGTAAGGGGGTGTCGAGAGGCAGGAGACCTTTTCTCCATTAACACTAGCGACAGGACCCGCGGGAACGGGGTTAAGCTGAGGCAGGGGAAGTTTAGGCTGGACATCAGGAGGAAGTTCTTCACAGAGAGAGTGGTAGCACACTGGAACAGGCTCCCCAGGAAAGTGGTCACTGCACCGAGCCTGTCTGAATTTAAGAAGAGATTGGACTGTGCGCTTAGTCACATGGTCTGAACTTTTGGGTAGACCTGTGCGGTGTCAAGAGTTGGACTTGATGATCCTTAAGGGTCCCTTCCAACTCAGAATATTCTATGATTCTATGATTTTCAGTGGGATTTGTGGAATAAAGGGAAAGCTACAGGGATAAGAAAATGAAACATCCTTTAACATGGAGAATATGGCTGTGCAAAATGGCATCAGCATAAACTTCTCACTTCCCCTTGGTCTACTTGATTTTTTTAAATCAGGCTGTTTTAACCTTTACTGTCTTATGTGAAATTGAGCACATGGTTGCTATTAAGGAGATTAATATAGATCTAAAGTTATATATCTGTGCCTTCTTTTTTATTATGTCAGAGTAAATTAATCAAAATATGGGTTTATCCTTTTGAAACAGCACTTTGATGCTTAAGTTTCTATCACTTCTTGCATATTCCAAAGATAAAAGCTATACAGGCCTCCCCATCATTCAAAGAGACAAGACAAAACACAAAATTGAAAACAAACAAGCAAATAAAACAAACAAACCAAAAAGAAAATATTGTAAGAGAAGATAATGCAACAGTCAAATTTTACAAACCAGGTCTTGCTTAAGGATCTGGAGGAATGACATCCTGACAGAAATCCTCCAGGTGATGCCACGTGCTCCCACCATAGCTGAGAAGAACTGCTTTAATAGGTATTTCTGGACTAAAACCCTTGTTTTAGGACCTAGACATGTGAAAATTTGGAACAGGTAGAAAGGATGAAAAAGAATCAGTAAAGAAGCACACAGCGTGCATGGGTTTCTTAGCAGATAACATGCTGGCATCTTTCTTAGTAGATGACAAAGACTTTTTGTGAGATGTAGCATAACCATGTCACTCCCAGCGAATCTACCAAACTTCACGCATAAGAAATTAGCATGAGAATATGTTTATTGATACTGCGTGGCTCAAAATAATTTATAAAAAGACCAATGCCACAGACCAGAATGATTTAATGAGGTGCTTTGTGCTCTCCTGGCCCCCTCCTCTTTCTTCTAGTGCCTATGAACGCTAGCTGTCAGAATTTTGTGGACCTTGTCCAAAGACAGATTAGAGCAAAGAAGTTTTAACACTGACTTCAGCCATCTTTGTATGCACATAGTAATGCAGATACAATGTTGCCCTTCTTGCTTAATAGACTTGACGCATTTTCTTATTTACCAGGAACATTTTTAGTCAGCAGCCAAGAATCTCCTTCTGACTGCATTTATAGATAGAACTGAGAACTCTTTCACTCTATATGCTACATAGTTTATTTGTATTTATTAAGTCCCTAATGAACATTTAAGTCCACACTGAAATGAATGATGCATTTTATTAATTGTGTGTTGTTGTGTTTTTTTTTATTAATAGGAAAATAGTAAAATAAGAATAAGCATTGGCATTAACACTTAATAGCTAAATTCAGACACAGCCTTTCTCAAAACAATTTTATCCAAAGAAATACAAAAAACATTTATATAATACAAATACAATACATCTTATACAAAGAAAATATATATTTTGTTCCTTCTCCCCATCCCTGTTTTTAGTCTCACCTCCCTTTACACCTTCGCTGACCAGATGATCCTTTTGTAGACTACTACCAGCTGTGGAAATTTCAATAAGCAATTTTCTCTAAGTGCTTTCTCCTGTGTCTCCTGAACCTTTCTTATATAGCTTGCATTTTTTTCTCATTGACATAGGAGGTTTATGATTGGTTTGGCTAGCAAAAGTACAAATTGGGCTTCATTTTGACACTGTGCTTGATGTGGGAGATTGATGTTGTTGGGGACTCTTCTGTAGAAGTTCCTTCTTCATTCTTATTTGGAAATACCTGCCTTTATAAATTAACAAGCAAATTAAGGCATATATATGTATTCAGAATCTCTTTCTGAGGTAGAGGACAACATACTAGTAGTGTCTCTGACCAGTGCAAATCTGTTTATCACCACTGACTACAGTGTAGCCACGATGGCTTAGAGCAGCAGTGAATTTCAGCCATGGGACAGATTTCTACTCCAGGTTTTGAAATGCTTGTGCTGTAGTATGGTACCTTAAGCCATACTGTTTATGCAAGCTAATATTCAAAATAATAATAACAGCAAACAGAATTGTTTCATAATAGTCTTATAATAACCCTATGAGAAATTGAAAGCATGTTATTAAAAGCATACTGGTGTTAATAATGCCAACAACTGAATTTCAACTATAGAAATCTTTGTGCTTGAAATTTCTTCATTTGCATAATTTTGTTACCATCTAGAAATTTCAGTAACTGACCAAGTTCAAATAAGAAAGTTGAAACAAAGCATATTTTCCAGTCCAGCCAGTATTTACATTTTTAACCTAATCACGCATTCAAATATAGGTTTTACTTTATGAGGAATTTTAATTTTTTTACAATCACAGAATGGCCGAGGTTTGAAAGGACCTCTGAAGATCATCCAGAAGATCATCCAGACCCAGCCGAGCAGGATCACTTCAAGCCTTTCATGCAGGATGGCATGCAGGTGGATTTTGAATGTCCCCGGAGAAGGAGGAGACTCCACAACCATTCTGGGCAACCTGTTCCAGTGTTCTATCACCCTCACAGTGATAAATGCCCTCTCATTTTCAGCTGTGTTAAAACCTCCTGTGCCCATTGTCTCTCGTCCTGTTGCTGGGCACAACTGGAAAGAGACCAGCTCCATCCTCTTGACACCCTCCCTTCCAATACTTAACCAATATATACATTGATGAGATCTCCCCTCAGTCTTCTCTTTTTCTGGGCTAAACAGGCTTTTTTTTTTTCAGCCTGTCCTCATACAAGTGTTCCAGTCCTCTTATCATCTTAGTAGCCCTCCTCTGAACTAACTTACATTTGAAAAAATGTGCATTCAATTCATAAGGAAATTTATCCTCTGACTTTTTTTCCTGATTAGAATTATTCCATTTTTTTTCCTCCTTTCTGTGTTGCTCTCTATGGTCACCTGCACTGTTAAAAAGGGGACTAAGACAATTAATGTGAATAAGGTATATACATGAGATTTTTAACTGGTGTTCTACTTCATATACTGTTTAGAAACTGATTAATGAAAATGATCATCTGACTGATGGGAAAGGCACGAAGATTATTTTTCAAGCTTCTCTCTCTTTTTTTATTACATTGTTTAACATACATTTAAAGGCAGCAGCACTGATGAAAATGGACTAACCCTCTTGTTTTGTTTGTGTAACTTTAATGTTCTGATCCTTCCCTAGAGCACTGTCCCTCTGAAACAGAGTCAAGACATAACATTATTTTTCTTTACCCATAGTTTCTAATTTGCTTTGGAGTTGAATAGGTGGTTATTTTTTAACCTAAATACCAGAACTAATAACCATACTTCTGCAGATGCAGACTTACAAGAGGAGGTGGAGAAAGATAGGTGCAGCACAGGGATTTTTACCTCCCTTTCAAGGACCAGCTGATTCAAAGTATATTGCCATGTATTGTATTTCCAACCACCCTATTTTGAAGCCACTTATGGTCACTATGCAGGCAAACAAATCAAATGAGTTTATGCTGTTACACACTCATATGATTTGCTGAGTCAGGAACTTCAGCAACAAAACAAGGAAAATATGCTTGCAGAAATACGAGAAGCCAGAAATCAATGAACCTTGTATATGGGGCAAAAATGCTTTTTGTAGTTAATATAATAGTGCCTTACAATAAGACACTGGGCCATGGTGTTTTGATTCTATCATCATACGCTGCCACCTGCCAAATATCATCACATTTATACTAACCAGTTAAATGTTTCTGAAGCCAGTGAACACAAACCTACTTTCTGAGTGAAGGGCTGCTTCTTTTTTGCAGGTGCACTGAGAAGACTGAGAAATCTCAGAAGGTTAAAAAAAAGAAGAAAAAAAAAAAAAGGATTTTTTTGCGGCATACTGCTCTTTGAAAAAGCTCAACACAGACTGTTTTCTCAAGTGTACTTAAAAGGTTTGTGTCAAATCATCAACTGAGTCAGATTGTCTGAGTGAAGTCATGCTACTTTTATATACTGATGCATTTACACATTTAATTTTACATACCATTTCTTTGAATCTAGGAAGGCAGAGACCTTGAGGTGGAAGGCTCTATTCTGGGGAATCCTTGTTCATCTTAATGTGATTTTTCTTCTGTTTGTCTTCTTCCTCTTCTCATCAGTGAAAGAAAAACAAAACATTTGATTGACAATCAGCAAACAGACAAAGGGACTGTTAATGTACAGCCTTATATTTTCAAATGCTTATTTGCCTTCTGAGAAACATTCATGACAGCTATGAAGCAAAATTCCTTCTCAGTGTTCACTTTTCATCCCCTTTCTGACGTGTCTGATGTGTGAAGAATAAAGAAAGAAGGGGAGTCTTGTGCAAATTTCTCTTGGATGATGAATTCTGATGAAATAGTTCTTAGGTCCAGCCTTGGAGCTTTTACAAAATGTTTTCTTCAAATACTAAGCCCCTGGCTTGTTCTTGCACACTTGTGGGCTGGAATCCTGGACTATCTAGGGATATACCCTGGTCTGTACCCTTGTTTGTTGAGCTATATTTTTATTTATTTTTTTCCCACAAGCTTTGAAATACCTAGAATCATATAAAACTCTACTCTAGAACACTGGCAAGCTAAGAGCAGTGTCCATAGGGATCTATGCTTATGTAATTCATAGAACTTCATTTTTTTTTTAACAGACTTGTATCCTGTGTACTGTTTAATGTTTGTACTACTTAGATCAAAAATTTCCTGCTAATGCCTTAAATATGAAACTGCAGCTGTGCTGGGCCAATGTACTCTCAGTCTTGGTGATTAGGCTGAGCCACTACAATGCCCCGGGTTAGAAAGAGCAGTGCATTATCTGTCATTTACCACCTAGGCCACTGGAAGTCTTTGGGTCCAGTACTTGCTGCCAGTTTTATATTTTATCAATAGATAATAGAAATATGAAATACAGAGGCAATGAGGGGATCAGGGTTGCAGACCAGGTTACTGCATGCTAGAAACCCTTTATGGGCCAGCACAGAAACCTATCTGTATTCTTTGTATACACTCATCTTTCTTTTAAAAATTTCCCTTTCAAGGTAAGGAGTACCATGCTTTTGTTGTTGTCGTTTTGTTTTTGTTTACTTCTCTTCAAGCATAGAAATAGACCCAAAGATGTCAGCAAGGTGTCTCTCATGCTCAGATATTAAATATGCGCTTCTTGATTTGCAGCAGAGAATTACATGATATAAAATGATACAGTCTCAACAGTTTAACATGCCTGCTGACTTTGATTAAAAACAGTATTTTGTCATGATCTTGCACATTAGATAGGAAGACAACATTGCTGAAGTGGATTTTTAATAGTAGCTTTAGTTTGTGTTGAGCAGGGTCTAAATTTTAAATGAATTCCAGCATAATTGACCACCCAAACTGCTCAATATTCTCCTACTTACCTGTACCTTACTAAGGATGAAAAACTTTTTTCACTTTCTAGCATGTTCTCCAACACTTCCAACATAACCATTATAATCTCAGTCACTTGCTCATATCTGAAGTTGGCAGGCTGATTCAGAATAGCAGGACAAGCTGAAGTCTCTGTTGTTTATCCCTGAAGCTACTGTGTTTCAGGGAGAGCTTACCGACATCTGCAAGACTAGAGGGAGCCTCTTCCAACAACAGCTGACCCCACTACCCTGCAGCCCTCTGTACTATCCATGCTGAAATATGCCTTTTAGTGAGGGAATTACCATTGCAAAAATTTTGGTAATTTTAAGGATGATTAAAACCAACTTTCACAAAGTTGAATTTCAGTCTTTGGAGCGTTACTGTCTTCCAAGATGCACAGAGCACTGATGATGCATTACTCAGTGTTTTTATCAGAACAGAGTCTTTTCCTTGGGGAAACTTATCTATTACTATGCTTTATAGTTAGATAATTGTATTTACTTGATCTGAAACAATAAAAAGAACCACAGCTTAGATGATATTAAATGGTCAGAATAAGAGCCCAAAGGATTATTCCAGAAACATTCTGCACTGTAAGGCAAAATTTTCCTCTTAGAGACTGTATTTGAGCCATTCATCAAAGGGAGATTGTGGAAAAACAGATGTTCTTCATGTTTGCAGCAGAAAAACCATTTTCTGTACTTCCTTTGAAAGTCTGAAAATATTTTATATAGATTCAAGAAAAGGTAAAAACTGAAGCACTGTGACAATATTATCATTTCAGCTGAGAGTAAATGGTTGGTTTGGTTTTGTGACAGCTTCATTAGAAGTTGTGAATCAGAACCACCCATTCTGGTTTGCATTGCTTTCCTGACATAAAACAAATGCAAACTTGGCTTAACTGGTACTATTCCATGAATTATTGTTGATTAATTCAGCTACTGCTAGCAAAAGTTGCTTTGGAGAAAAACAGAACTTTTTTTTCCCCCACTGATTAGTAAAAGAAATATGTTCGTTTTTCAGCTTAAATTTGATTTAAAAAAAAAAAAAAAAAAAAAAGCTTCCTTGTGTTTCTGTGACCTAAATTTACTTTATTCCACAGACATTAAAAAAATAATAATAATTATATATTAAAAAAAAAAAAAACTATAAATTTATGTTAAACTCTGATACTAAGCTGCATTCAGGATGTCCTAATTCACATTACAGTATTATCATTACACTAGATTGTTAATGATTTCCTTCTCTTATATTTAAGACTATCCTTCTCTTTTCTTTGCATTTAATAAAAGAAGAATATATTTTAGATGAATGCAAAATACTTTTAAAGACTTTCATGAGGAGAATGGCAATATTATCACAATTAAAATGAAATGTTCAAGCAGAGCTGTCTCCTTCCCAATCTTTGAGTGGAGCTGTGCAGAGCTAGTTACTTTAATTGAACTAATGAATTCAGCCTGCAGTACCCCATGTGGATATTCTTTTACTTTAGCAGCTACATTAAAGGTTTTCTATTAAAAGTCACATTATATGGGGATGTCTATTTGTCTGCATAATCAGAAATGTGCATGTTGATTTCTCCAATTAGATATCTGACTTCTTATATTCTTTTTAATATTTTCAGAAGCATGCACAAAGCATTGAAAATCATAAGAATTTCTAACCTTTGGTTAGAGCAAGTCATGTTCTTGCATGTAAAACTATCTATAGGTTTTTGCACGAAATTTTATTGTGATTTTTGTCTTCCTTGCATACTCTCTATCACCATGTTGCGCTAAACACCACATTGATTCTGAGGTTCATAAAATGGCCAAGGACTGAGGGCAGATTCAGCCCATTAAAGCTGATACGGTATGGACTGGCTGAGATGAGCTTTTACTTTTAGAGCTTGGTATTTCATTTTTCAGTCAGCCTGTCCCTTCAGGTTTGATTCAACCATACACTGATGTCCATCAAAAGATAGACATTGTCTTCAGATCAGTTGGATTGGGCCCTCAAGGGCACATGAGGATGTTTTCACCATGGGTGGCAGCAGCAGTCTTTGTTTCCTTGAAAAAAAAAAAAAAAAAAAAAGCACTCAATTTTCAGAAGAGTTAGCAAGGACAGATATTCAATAATATCAAATTAAATAAATAATGGAGAATTAGATTTTTTTCAACAGTTCTGTTAAACAACAGCTGATTTGACAGATATGATTGTAGTTTTCATGAGTAAACTTGTGTGAATAAGACTGGAATTTACCTACAAAGGTGTTTCCTTTTTTCTTTTTTTTTCAGTCAAGCTTCTTATATACATAGCACATAATTTATATTTATAAGTGGAGTTATTTAAAATGGCTTCTTAGTTGAAGGAAACAGCACAAATCTGGCAAAGCATAAAACATACAAGGATGTGAGTGCCTTTTTTAATGTTGGTAGCAAATGCCCATTAATTCAGAAGGGGGTGAATTCTTACAGTGTAAAGTGTCTTACTGATACAAGGTTTTGCAGAGTTTTTATTTTACTTTGTTTTTAATATTTTATTTTTTTCTGTGCTGCTTACGGACAACAAATAATCTAAAAGCTTAATTTTCATTTTGCCAGGAGCAATATAAAAATAAAAAAGTCAGAAGACACAAGGAAACAAGAAATACTTTAAGGATCATCCTGTTTAAATGAAAGAGAACTTTCTTCTTTCTGACTTGTGGAGTTAGCAAATTTGTGTTATAATATATAGGAAATGACTGCACCAAAAATTTGTGTCATTCCCATTCTAAAAATAACATTATAGAAATCTCTTTGTGCATTTCCTCACCGTTGTGTAGAACTCCTTACCTCCCCCACAGAGCTAACTAATTCTTCTCAGTGTATAGAAGCTAAAGTCTTACAATTTGTAAGCCTTACAAATTGGGTTAGGTGTCTGGAGTAGATATTCTGAAGTTTTTTATTGTCTATCACACAGAAAAACATTGTTTCAATTTGTTGCATTTCAAAAGATAACTTTAACTCTTAAAAAAATATTTCTAAAAGAACTATATAGGAATGAATTACAATCATGTCAAAGATCAGAATAAACACTTAAATTTAAAATATTAATTCCATTTTATGATAGTATCTATTTTATGTTACTGAACTATTTTTCTTCAAGTGACTGAAAACAGTTCATTTTGCATCCTTTTCTCTACATATCACATGGTGATGTGTGAACCAATGCCTCTCTTTATACCTTAAAATCGTATCTGTCTGTATCACAGAGATGTGAATTTATTTCCATAGCATCTTGTAAGGTGAACAGTGTATTATCCCCACTCTAAAAAGTAAGACTTGTTGCCCTTTACTGATTAAATGAAAGAGAGCTAGAAATTCTAAACCTCCAGAATAACAGATGCAGGCTCTGATTTTGCAGAATGTTCATATTGCATTTTATACATTCAAAGCGCAATCTCTAGTGACCGCATTTGCACTTCTATAAATCAGTCTACAGTCTCAAGTTAGACACACAGAAAATGAGGAACATGTAGTTGGTAGTCTCCTCTGAAAGACTGAATTTAAGTGATTTACTGCAATCAGAGAATTATATATAGTTCCATGCAAGCATTCTGATGTCTAGGTCACCAAGTAACTGCTGTAACTGGAAGGCCCTTTTTTCTTTTTATATGGTCTTACGATTTTGGAAAATTTAGATCCACTCTGTTGGTCTTATCAAGCAATATATAATAACTACTGGCACCTACAAGTTGTCACCCTTTGTGAAATTCAATATGCCATATGGATGAGATACACACTTAATGGTTTTCACAGATATTGGTTTACAGGGGAAGACAATCTCTGCGCTAAAGATGAACAAAATCTCTTTGGAGGTAAGGAGAGACCTATGTAAGGAGGATTCTATGTAAGCTGAATCATTTTCAAATTTGACTAGATTTTCATGTGAACTTAAATGCATTTCATAACTTCATCAATCAAAGCAGGTTTTGTTAAAAAAAAAAAAAATCAATACTTTTACATGTTAGTGGAATGGTGTATTCCTTTCATGGCCTTATTTTCTGAAACAGCTGTACTGTTAAAGATTTTTGGGAGAAGGGAGTTTTTGGTGTCTTTAATAGACTAATATTTGCATGTATTGCAAATCCCATATTTTTGTTAAACTATAATAAGACCATATAAATTATAAACTA